GAATTTAAAATTACTCTTCCTGTACTTGGTGATTTTAAAAAATACAAACAGTTCAAAGGAAAAACAGGGGGAGGGGGAATCTAACCAGTGTTTTGAAGTTACATAAGTATGTAAGCATTGACTTAGCCTACTTCAAGAAGTTTCGGGGAATGTTAGCTTGGTTTAGCTTAGTTTAGCCTAGGCAATTAGCATGTGGGGGTTTCATATTCATCAACTTAGTAGATTAAATTTACTTTACCGAGAAAGCAGAAATTGGTGTAGGGAAATGCTCAGGAAATGTGCATTCAGGAAACGTTCAGTGCATAATGGTAGAGGAGTAAATCAAAATTAGTAAACAGTTTTACACATTTTCCAGATAGATCTTGCGGGGCCCACAATACCCCTTCTGCAGGCTTTGAAGGGTAAGAGGAAAAGGCAGGCACTGAAGAATGTTAACATACTAATTTTAGAATATGTGAAGAACTGTGCACTTAATTATATGTGTTCCCTAGGGGTAATAATCTGAAAAAAGTTAATTACAACTTTGATTTTCATGTTAATTAATTTGTGAAACAATCTATATTTAAATATGAAAAACTTTTCACAGATAAATAGAACAGAGGCCTGCCCCCCCCCTCTCTTTCCTAAAGAAACTTACATAGTTCAAATGTCTAAAAACCATGGGCTTTATGCCTAAATGAGATTTTGAAGCTCGGTCCTACTGATCAAACCTCCATAACACCAGCGTGTAGTAAAAGCAGAGCCCATGCAGCTCAACAACACCTCAACTACTTCTGTTGCATGCAACTGCTGCTGCTAAACATTGGTAGCAAGGTGCATCTTCTTTTATATATAATTTTTATTGAAGATTTTAATTACTGCAGTGAAAGCAAATACAATCTTAACTCAGAGAAAGGAGAAATAGAAAGAATAAAAAAGAAAAAAAAAAAAGAAGAAAGAAAGAAAAAGTAAAAGTAAAAGTAAAAGTAAAAATATATATAAAGAAGTGACTTCCAATCTTCATC